CTTTGTTGATAATCAGAAAGAAAATGAATATCACAAGCCTTATCCTTTTTTTCAAATGATGATGACGAGATACATGTTTTCACTGTTACTAACAGGAATCATAACATTGAATCAGTGGATAAATTGCTACTCACCACTACGAAATGCCGCAGCACGTATACGAGCGTTCCCTCTGCAGCCCTCTCTGACAGCACCTTATGAAACAAGGTGAACTTCTTGGTTCCAATCTCAGCGTAGAGGATAACCACTGGCACTTCTGTGGTATTGACTCCTGGATATGTGTGGTCATTCTTGTATAAATGTGGTATGGGCCTGCAAACATTTTTTAAATATTATTAAAGACGTTTCATGAATACAATTATTACGTTTCTTACAGAAGAAAATAAAGTCAGTAAAGCTTCACTCATATAAAAATGTACTGTGAAACTATTCATATTTGTCTGTTATACAGATAGAGTTTATCGACAGAGGGCAAGCCAGTGTATTCAGTGTTACCTGCCTGCAGCTGCCTTCAGGAGCTTCTTGATGTCCTTGGTGCTGCAGCTATGCTGACCATGAATGGAGACAAAGGCAGGGCAAGCCTCAGGCGGAGGCTCATCACTGGCTATCTGTAAAAGAGCGTGGAGGAGTGAAGGAATGATCCATAACACACAAACAACAACATGACCCTGCTAGGGTCTAGCATCTACCCCTCACTCTTTAAAATGGGACAAACTGAATCACAGCTAAATTGATTTATTTATCCTCGATATTCTCAATCCCACTTCATTTCAGCAACAAAAGACTATTATACATTCAAGTGCTAAACATCTTTTCAGATTAGAGAAATTCATCAACCAGTGCATTGCTGTCACCAAAATGAAATTACTCCTCATCATTGCTGAAGCTGCAATGTATAGGCTAAGGAACTGTGAACACAGTGTGCTTACATTTCATTAAGAGTCACCCAGTATTATCATCAACTATAGTTCACAGCAGCTTACTGAGTAATATATTTAAAAACTAATGTCATTTAAATAAAGAATTTTGAAATAATAAAGTAGAAGTTTTCACTACCATTAATTCAATGAAATGTGTCAAAGAAATTGAAAAACACTGTAAGTAAGGCCTGCAGAGCTACCTTGGTCAATAATTGGTTAGACGTACAATATAACAAGCGCTAAGGAAGTGGAGCTGGCTCACTGTAATGTTACGATGCAGCTCTTGAGAGAGTTATGAAATAATGATACTATTGTAATTACAACATACCTGCTGGGATGCATGAACAGCTGGTGAGTACGACCGTAGGGACATAGCGAATTTGAGGAGATTAACTTGAAGATCTGTGAGGAACTGGCCAGCCTTCTTAATGATCAAGTTGTAGTACGACCGCACAGACTCTGAGACACATCAACACAATTTAGAAATAATTAGTTTTTTTTTTAAGAGAAGCAGACCTCTCAGGAGTATCAAAAATTAAAATCAATTTTGGATTTACACAACATACCTCCTTGCTTGTATACGGTGAGCTCTTTCACTGTGTCAACAAACTGCCAGAATTTCTCATTCCCATCTTCTGCAATAAACTCACTGCAAAGGAACATATTAGTTAGCATTATTCAGTAGCCAGCACAGTATGGACTTAAGTAAACATTTTCTGTCTGCCACATAATCTTTTTATATTTTAAGATAATAAGTCGGCCATTACAGGCATGACCAATATTTTTAGTAACACCATAAAAGGAGAATTTTAAACATATGAACAACTTTTGGCTGCTATTTAAGCTCATTATGTATGAAAATCTAAGATATAATTAGCTAAAACTGCACTTTATTACACAATTGAATTTTGATTTAAGATTATCTTTTCCCCCCAATACATTTTCAAGTTTGTTAAGTTTGCTCAGCTTCTCTGAAAACCTAGGAGGGTGAAGTCTGATGACTAAAATCCTTTATTCAGTAAAAACATATAGTTAAAACAATTACGTTCTAAAAATTGTTGTTAAAAATGTGTTGAATCTTGATAAAAAAGTAAATGTATGACAGCTTCTGGCCGACAACCATAATGTGCCATAACGAGAGATCAATTGAATAAAATGTCACATTTCTCTAGGTTTTAAACTTGTTGGAAACATTTGGGTTAATGCAAGTACACATATTAACACAACATAGGTTTAGATGTTTGAGATATATCAATGCTGAAATGTTACATAATGATATCTTCAACTAAACAAATACATATTTTAAGGGGTATAAAATATGCAATTAGGGGGCTTTGGCCTAGTGATCCCAACCCTGAGATCCTGGCTGTGCCCCTGTCTGTAGCTCTGAGTGCAGCATGATGTGGAGGGGTGAGTACCTTGTTTCCAACAGGAAAGGCGTCATGCTCCACTTTGCTCTAAGACTGGCAGTGACACCTTTGGGTGCCGATGTGACATGATGTATATTCAGCAGCAGCAGCAGCAGGGACAGCACAATAACGTTCCTCATTTTCTCTGGAGAGACGTAACATGAACCTACAGTGGCAGAAAGCAAACACCAGCGTCGTCAGTAGAGGTTAACCTTAGCTAGTTATTTTTGCCTTTTGAGAAGTGCCAGTCAGTGCCACGTAGTTACTCTACTATGTTATTAAGTTAACAAGAAACACCGGTGTAGGTAGACTTGTATCAAAGCCCTCCAACATGATACACAATCAGTACATGGTTGCGGAATATGCTAGCTACATGTGAAATAGCATTGACCTGTATTTCTAACTAGACCTTACTTCTTACTACTACTAAAATAACGTACGTGCAATTGGGTAAGACCGACTGAAGTTAGCTGTAGCATAAAAGTAAACAGCCTGTCGTGAATGAAAACGTTATACTTCCGTGATTTAGAGACTACAAAGATCACCTGCTACAAAGCTGTGTACAATACAATACTTAACCATTAGTAGGCTGTGTTACAAATAACATATCCCTCACCCCGTTAGCGATGCTGGCCACTTCCATACAAAGCCAGCTTCATTTATTTGGGCAGCGAACAGCACAGCTAGCTAACTTAGTTGCCGGGGTAGCAGCGTATTGTAGTGGCTCGCGCTAACCGTTATACGTGTTAGAAACAATTATGAAATGAAAACAAATCAAATCGTTTCATTATTTTAACTTACGTGTTGTCACCGTGTTTGCATGAGCACAATAATTAATAGTCAGCCTAAAGTATTAAAAAACCGGACGGTAAAGCTGTAATTTATTCTGGCACAGCGGTAGACAGCTAAAGAGGCTGAGGCTCAAACATCAACCAAACACTGGAGCATGTTGCAGCAGCCAACGTCACACTGCTGAGTGCACTGAGTGAGTTGGTGTGCTAGTGTAATGTTATAGCCTAGAGATGTTTTGTCTTTGTTAGAAGAAGTAGGCTACTTAAGAGCAGCATTCATTATCATTAACATTATCGGTTAATTTATTTAAACAGATGCCCTTTGTTCAGAATACAAACTCATTTGTTCTTCATAAAGTTTAGGCAGATCACAACAAAGAAACAGGAATAAACAAAACTGAAATACAAAATGAAATAACAATGAATACATAAATACAAATAAAATAAAAAGTAAGCGGTAATATATTTAAAGTTAAATTAGAGCTGATAACAGGTTCATAGGTTAAACAAAACATGGGGATGATGTAACACATAATTCCTACACACTAACACACACTTACTTGTGGACATGTACATATTTACATGGTATAATAAGCAGGTCAGCATAACAAAAAATCATCAGCATACGCTGGAGCAAAAGAAAACATGCTCAGTGCTTTAGCCCCAACACCCACACTAATAATACAATTTATGTTTTTGCAATATGGAATGCATTTTCTCCATCTATTATCAGCTATGTGTTTGGTTTCTTAAGGATGAATGTTATCCTTTCCATAGTGTTAACTTGGTTGGTCTGTTCCCACCCTGTCTGTGTTTGTGGCTTGTTTGTGGCTGCTTATGCAGAACCATATAGAGAAAGGTTGGCAGAGTAGCAATACGACATGCAGTGTACTGTCAACGTATAGGTTCACTGCATCCACAATCTTAAAAATAATAATAATTTGTATGCAGTAGGACTAATATTTATATATATATATATATATATATATATATATATATATATATATATATATATATATATATACACACAAGGTCTTAGGTATGTTTATTTCCACTGTAGGAATTATTTTTTGAATAAATATTGGACTTGCAGAAACAATTATGTTCATCTTTATTATGGGAATAGGATCTGGAAGCATTTCGGTAATTTATATTAAATATGTTTCTCCTTTTATATTAGTGTATATCCATAAATGCAAATGGCCTGAAAGAAAATCCAATTTTCAACACTTCATGCATGAAATGAAATGATAGCCTACTTAGAAACACTTAAAGGATTTATGAATCAGAAAGCCATCAACTATGGTCATCTACAATACCTTAAAAAACATATTTCTAATTTGATAATGTAGCCTTTGTAGCTTACACCTTCTTTTTCTTTTGTTCTCATCTTTTAGTTTGATTTCTAATATTTGTGTGTAATTGTATGAAGTACTTTGTAGAAGAAATGCAATAATGTATGCCACCATTGACAATAAATGAAGATCAGTTAATCAAAAGATAATACATTCGTAAAAGATATGTATCAATGTTATTGTTCAAATGGATTTCTGAACATAACCATTAAGCTATTGCTGCAAAGAAACCAGATGTTTATTTTTTATTGTCTCTCTATGTCTATTTTCCTTTTCCTTTTTTCCTTCTTTTTAAACAGATGTATGTATTTAAAAAGGATGGGCTGTATCCTTGCACAAGCTATAAGCATAGAGACCAGTGCTTTTTTTTAAATCATCAAAGGTCTAACTCTGATGAATGCACTTTAAAAAGTTAGAGTGGATTTTATATTTATGTGGTTAAAATCTCCATGTTGCCTCAGTTCAGTGTCCGTGTGCTTCTGGCTTTGCACAAGATTATGGGGTGGACAGGATGGGATGCAGCCTATAGAGCTCTCCCAGCCCAACCACAGCGAGAGCATAACGCATATCTGTCGGCTTGGATGCAGCAGCTTCCTCTCTGCTTCAGTCAGTCAGTCAGACCGCCGAGGACACTGCCGGAGGATCCAGCCCCACACATCTCTGCTGAAGTAAGTCTTATCACCGAAACGAGCCACACTGCGATTTAGACTGGGATCACCTCGGGAAAACACACAAGGAAGGGGTCAAACCTAAAAACTCTCATCATCCGCTGCCTCATTTTAAACTTGATACCGGAGTATGAGAGTCGTCGGCTCGGATGCAGCTCCACACCGGCTTCAGAAGTTGGACAGCCCGCAATTTGAATGCCATGACTCTTGACTTTAGACAAGATTTCCAGCGCAGTGCAGTATTTAAGAAACCAAAAGGTGGACTTCTCCCTTTTGTGCCGATTATGTCCTCGGAGGGTGTTATTATCTGATCAACATGTTGCACCTAATAGGCACCTTTAGTCTTTTCTGAGACATGGAGCATTAGTCTATCGATCCCCGAAGAACCCGTGGGTGCTACTTATTATTCACAGTAATGGAATGAAGAAACTATCTCGATATGATGGACGATAGATCCAGTAAGCTCATCTTGGTGCCTATCTTAGCTGTCCTTTTTGTTATGATAGGCTACCAGTACATATGTCCCGCTGGCAGCAATTCGTGCCACTTTAAGGCTGAGGAGAAATTAAGGGGGGTAAGCCTACTTTCCATCCCGTACCAGGACAGCGATGATTTCTACAGAGATCAAGACCTGGAGGATGACAGCCCTCCTAAACTACCGTCAAAATTCAACTTCACCGAAAGAGACCTTGACAGACACGTGGAGTTCAACATCAAAGGGGACGACGTGATAGTGTTTTTGCACATCCAGAAGACCGGAGGAACCACTTTCGGGAGGCACTTGGTGAGGAATATTCGCTTGGAGCAGCCGTGCGACTGCAAGCCAGGACAGAAGAAATGCACATGTCACCGACCAGGGAAAGAGGAGTCCTGGCTCTTCTCCCGGTTCTCTACCGGCTGGAGCTGCGGGCTGCATGCAGACTGGACCGAGCTGACGAACTGTGTACCTGTCATTATGGATAAGAAGGAAGCCCAGAGGAATAAAAGGTAAATGTGTACAAATAGGCATGCAAACACTAGAACCCCACGATAAATGTAAACAATCAAAGTTGTGATTTGTTGTGTTAAGTGAAGAGTATTAGATGGGATGGTGTTCCCAAATGAGTGATGTAGTTTAGTCAGAAAGTGAGAAACAATACACTGATTGTAAAATGGCAATTAATTGCAACCCAGCAACCAACTCACTTTGTTGGAGGTAGAATAAGTGTTTTATCCTAGGAAAATATTGTACCACGGCAACATTTACTTTCCTTAACCTTCAGAAAGGAAATCTGTTTTGGCTTTTGTGTTCACATCAGCCTCTCACAATGGACTTGTTTCTGTCCAGCTGTGCTGGTGCTGTTATTCTACCAATTTGCACTATTCACAAATTGTACTCATGCATTTAAAGGAATCCCTTTTCACAGCAGAAATTATGTTGTTTGGAAGCCTGCAGTCCAATTTGGCACACTGCAGTGTTTTCATTGTCTCTGGATCAAAGCTCCAATTGCACCTATTGAACACTGACTGAGAGTTTCATGAAAGCAAACATACTGTGAATTCATAATTGTAAGTTAAAGGGTAAGTGACTGACTCTTTGACTCTGATGGTATCCCCCTCTGTTTTATTAATGGTTAAATTGTCCATAATAAGGGTGTATCAAACTCAAACCTGACCCATACACACAGATTCCCCTGCATTGTAAAATAAAGGTTTGAAAATTGTGTGATTAGTCCCTTGAGGTGTTCTCACTGGCTTATAGAACAGGAGCACTGCTGTTGTATCACACAAAGTCTTTACATCAGATGCCATCTTATCTCATGACTGACTTCAGATTATCCAAAGATGTTTGGTTTAGATGGACAAAAGATATCTGAGCGTGAAAGAAAAGTAGAACCTGTTTATTTGATATGCATTTTCCTTCTAACATTTTCTGTTGAGATTGCAGTAGAAAAGGCATTTGCCATTGCTAACTACTAATTTGAGAAAATGTATGCAGTACAATTACTTAAGGCGACCGCATTGTAATGAACCAGTCACTGCATGAGCAATGTGTAAGTGTTTCTGTGTGTGTGTGTTTTCACTTGGCAGAATAGATGTGTGCATTTTTCAATGCAGTTAGAGTTACTGATTCTTTAAATTGCATTGCAGACTATTCATTAAAAGAGAAAATACATTTTAAAAGTCTTTAAGTCAGTTGCATGTTCTCAGAGATACTGACATTTAGAAAAGAGCATAAACCAAATGTCACAAACACACAAAAATGTCCTTTTCTGTTTTGAAAAAAACATCTTACAGTACACTGAAGTACATGAGCACATGATTTATTTCTGCTGTGCCAAGTGTTTCCTTTACTCAGGAAAGTGCTCAGTGGATGCGACAGCTCCTCATTTCACAGCTGCAGCATCTATTCTGCACTTAGGCCTGCATCCCTTGTTCTTTAGCTGGCTCCCGCAGCATCTATTCTCAGATAAGTCTGCCTCGACCAAGCCTGTTGGCAGACACACTGTTAGACCCCCTCACTAACACAGCATAATTACTAAGATGACTAACGGTTTAATGCAAAATCGTAATAATTTTGTGTATGAGCAATGCCTTAATTAAAATATTTCAAATGCTATATAAGGTCAAAATAAGAAAAAAACACCCTTGTACAGTTGAATAGTTAATTTTACAATAAATAATCCATAAAATCTTAACTCTACCTAAGGGTACAATGGGGAATACTAAGTGTTCATCACTGCCAAATTCAGATGGCATACCCTTGTTTTTCGGTTGAGAGCCTCTCAGATTGAGTGGCTTTCTTTCCGCAGTCCCAGGTCCTCACCTTGCCAGCTCTTGAGATGGCAGTAGGGGAGCTGAGGTGGGCTTGGATGGCACTGCCTGCCTGGCGTTGTGTGGCCTTTTTAAGCCGGGCAGGGCGTGAAGCACGGAGAGCCAGCCGTGCGGCCCAGGAAAGGTCAGGTGTGTCAGACTGGATCAGTGTGCGTGTCCTGCGGCGCGGCTCCTCTGGAGTTTGCTGTCAGTCAAGGGAGAAGGGAAGCGGGCGAGTTGGACTCTCTTCCGGGCTTTTTGGAGAAACATACCTCTAAGTGCTGTTCTCTTAAGTTGCTTTGTGGGGAGCGTCCTGGCGTTACTTTGTCTGCTGCATCAAGAAGGCTTGCTGAGCAGGTTGTTTTCATCTCAAGTGATTTCAGAGACCTTCACTGTGTAGAGCTGCTTAAATTATTTCTGATTGTTACATCCTCATTAGCTAACTGTTTGGTCTTGAGTAGATGTATTCAATTTGACACACAAAAACAAGGCCAATTAAAAAATGAACATGGAATATGGACGAGTGTAGTAAAAAGTCTTAGGTCGGTATTTCTGAGAAATACCTGATGTTGCTTTCCATTTAAATAAGACTGAGCTTTTTCGGTTGTTCAGCTTAATATTTGCTTCCATCCTTGTGCAGTCAGAATTTCTATCAATGAGATTAATAACAACAATACCTTTTTATTGTTACAGCTGCTCGACGATGAAAGGACATTTGATTATCAAACATAGTCAGAAGTTCCTCTATTATATACATGAATAAAGTAGCAGTGAACTCAGTGCTGTCCATGTAATATGGGTATTGTCATTTTTCTTTGATCAGATTACTCACTGAATGTTTGCATATGAGCAAATACCAACCACTATTTTTCATATCCCCTTCAGATGAAAGATAATGTTGATGTTTCGCTAGGGATTCTTTATTTTTTTTAAATGATCACATGTAATACTAATGACAAAAACACATTTGAGATACTTTCAGAAGAGCCATTCAAGCCTTTGTTATACATCATGAAAACTGAGAAGAATAACGATCTTCTGTTTGAGCACAAGGTCCCTCAATCAGAACACAAAACATTCATGCGTGTGCATTGTCATTCACACAACAGAAAGAGGAAATTGCTAGTTTAGCTGAGGACACAACATCCTCTTAGCACCCAGAGAGTGAGCTTGGTTTGTTTGTTTTTAAGTTAAAATCACAAAGAAAAACCACTTGCTGTTGATTCTACCTGATTTATTCAACATTCTTCATCATAGTTTTACTTCTTTACAGATTCCCTGAATATGTGGTTAAATAGCAAATCAAAACATATATTTCACATGGTTGACATTCATAGAAACGTCAAGGTGGATGTTTTGTTGACAAAGTAAATGAATACAATAAATCAGGGTCATGCTTTTAATATGTTTCTTCATGGTGGTATTTTGATGACGTTTAATAAAAAGTATATGAATTAGCGTAGAACTTAGAACTGTGTTCATATATTTTCTCAAAAAATGTGGCAAAGCAATGTCTCAATTAAGAAGAGCATTTATTATGCAGATTTGACAATCCAGAGTCAGCTCATTACTCATGATGTCATTCATCATGTTTTTCTGCCTCTCTGTTAATGACAAGAAAACGCATAAACGACAAAACGGATTTAAGTAAGTTAGTTAATCATAAGAGGAAAAATGATTAGTTGTAGTGTGTATGGGTCCCATAATTCCTGAATGGTCAGGCATACAACCAAAATCATTTTTCTCTCTCTGGACTCCTTGAATTCAATTTTGTTAAATTCAATACAACTTTATTTATCCCGTCAAGCAATTGTATACAGCAACCCACCATCCAATTGAAAAACCGTACCACTATGTTGTTAGAAATTGAAGTTGGGTTTGAAAAATCCAAAGAAACTTGACTTTGATTATCATGCTGAGGCAGCCAAGCTAACCAATTAGTTAATCTGCTCATATGCTTAGTGGTGTCCCTTGAAATCTTGCTAATTATCCCTTGCTACATATTCAGCAGGTACATGAATCTATTTGGATTCAGGCATTAAACATCCAGAGCAATAAAATAAATATCATGGGTCTTTTTAGACTTATAGTGAAGGGCAGTACAGCCTTTTTCCTGTTTCTATTCCTGTTAGTTGTTCCCCTTTTAACTGTGGCCTCATGGTAATCTTATGCATATGCTGATGTTGCCGTTTTGATCAATTATAAAATCTTCATTAGAGGCTTTTTTGATGCCTATGCATAATGAATGCTCAGTTCAGAAGTACAAAGAGACCAAAGCCAAAACACAAGTGGAGTGCAGACGCTCTTCGATGCTCTCCTTTGATGAAGCACAGAGAGAGAGAATGTGCCTATGTAGCAATGACAAAGAGGATGTCCTCTGCTGTGATTCTAATGATGTTTTTAGATCACTGTGTCCTCGAGGATTTTTGTGTCATGTTGACTAAAAAGCTGTCTTGAAAGTTGTGCATATAGTGAAAAACAATGGCAACTACTGTGATTTCTTGGTTGAAAATTATTTCTTAATGATGTCACAGACTGAAGGATGTTCATTAACAGTTTTGATACATCATAGTTGCTGTTAATTTGCTTCCAAATGCTGCCTCACAGGGATCATTTACATAATCGTTGTCAGTCTTTTGGGTGTTGAAGGGAAAGTCTTCTATGCTTTATGGCCTCATGTATCTCTGTTATGTGAGGGACTACGGGTGGAAATGAGCTCAAAGCTCAAATCCGGCATGTTTACGTTTTAAAGCATTATTTGTTTTAAATGTTCATCAATGTGCACTGTCCTTCTTCAAATAAACGATTACATGAAATGAAAAATGTTCCAGTTTGTTGAAGATCACAAGTATTGCCAATAAGGGAAAGTATAGCTTAGTTGGAATAGTACCCAATAGATGAAAAGTACTGCAAAACTATTAAATCTCCTGCCTAATCAGCGTCGCTGCAGCTTTAAAAGCACCGCACCTGAAAGGAGGGCGGTAATCAAAGCTGGAGAGGGACAAACTAAAGAGCGCGCGTCCAGCAGCAGCAACGAACCAGCAGAAGAAACTACAAAGAAGCAGCACTGGTGCAGCCATAAAAAGCTGGAGAGGCGGCCGGTGAGAGACGAACTGTGTGGTTAGAGAAGAGTCATACAACTTGCCGTTCGTGGCGCACGTTAGAATGTATAGAATGTACGTTCTAGTTCAGTG